AGGGCAGGAGCTTGTATTTTTGGAACATGAAGGTGGCAGAGCTCTGGAAGCTGCTCCTGTCCCCGGAGTCTGCCTCAGGCAGCCGGGACTGTGCACCCTCTCCCAACTCCACCTTGACCCCTGTAGCCTCTTTCTCCTCCTTATCCTCTCGGTCCAGCGTCTCCTCCTCACACCCTGTGGGTCTCTGGGTGTCCCCAGCTTCTGCCAGTCTCTTCTTGAAGCTAAGGTCCAGCACCATGTCCTCAGGTGGCGGCTCCTCAGTGCCCACCCCGTCAGGGCTGCCCTCCTGAGACTCCAGCTCTTGGGACACAGACTTTGGCTTTTTAGGGATGCTCCTGTAACAGCTGTTCCCTTGGCTCTGCACTGCACCATTGCCCGAGCTCAGGCTGGACACCACTGAGACGTCTCTGAGGGCAACAGGCTCCTGGCTGCCACCTGTGTTTTGGGGTGAGGAGTCCTCCCACAGATGCTTCCTGCAGAACAGGATGGGGTCTGAGCCCTTGGCCATCTCCAGGTACTCCTGGAAAGGTGCCAGGCTGAAGACGTTGTGGATCACAGGCATAGGTGGGGAGGATGACAAAGCCTTGGTGTCCCTCAGGTCTTCCAGCCCCTTGGTGGGGGTCACAGACGGAGAAGGGCGGATGAGCTCCTCGGCTGGATCCTTGACCTTGTAGGCATTTCCTTCCCCTGGTCCCCCACGGGAGGTGTCCTGAGGGAACGGGCTGCTGTTCCTCCTCCCTGGGTACAGGGGCTCCTCCTCCTCTTGCCTGGGTTTTTCCCAGCTCCCTCCTCTCTTGGGAGAAGTCTCAGGGAGCCTGCCAGAGCCCCCAGAAAGTGTCTCTGAGGCGCAGACAGGCTGGAAAGCATTGCTGTGCCTCGGTGCTGCTGGCCACTGCAGACTGTCTGCCCCATGCTGCTCACACCCCGGCTCCCTGCTGGGAAAGGAGGTGTGGAACAGGGATGTATCTCCCGGGCTGACGGCAAACCCTGGGTACCTGGTATTCCTGGGCAGCTCAGCATCCCTGGGCAGCTCGGCATCCCTGGGCAGCTCAGCATCCCTCAGCGCTGCCCCCAGCCTGGCACCCACTGTCCTTGGCACGTAGGGCTCCAGGGGGCTGGGAAAGTAACTCCTGGGGGCTTGGGTCTTGAGGTAGGTGCCAGGAAAGGGCTCCCTGCTTCCCACGTAGCCAAAGCCAGGCAGGGCACTGGGCTCCCCCACTGTGGGAGCTGGAGAGTGGTAGAGGGGACCAGCTCTGTGGGGTGACAGTGGGTAGGGGGGGGGTGGGTAGCACATTGCTGACCGCTCCCAGGTCACTGGGCTGGCATCAGGTGGCTGGAGCTTGGGCCAGGGGTCCAGACTGAGGCTGGGGACCTCCGGCACCTTCATCTGGCTCTGGGCAGAGGAACAACTTGCTTCCAGGAACGGGGTGCTGGGGGGTGGCCTGTATTTATCAAAGGTGACACAGTAGTGGGGTAAGGCGACGGGGGAGCCCAGCTGCTCCTTGGAAGGCAGGGCCAGGCTGGAGGGCAGCGGTGGGAGGCTGTGGTCAGAGCAGGGACCCCTCCTGTGGGGCTCTCTGGGGTGCAGAGGGGGGGTGGTGGGGGGCAGGGTCCACTTTGCCTCCCCTGGTCGCTGCTGCAGACTCTCTGCTTGTGTTCCCAGCAGCAGAGCCATCCTGGGAGCCAGGAAGGAGGCGGGGGTTCTGTACACCGGCTTGGGGACCGCTAGAGGGGCTGCCTTCTTCACCGCCACCAGCTTCTTCACCGGCAAGGGGCACCTAGGGCTGTCCAGCTTCTTCCTGGCCATCAGCTGCTCCTGGCTCAGGCTGTCTTTGCTCTTCTGGGCGTCCGGGGGTTGCAGCCTGGTGCCCGGGCTGTCCGCTGGGTACAGCAGGAAGCCCAGTGGTGGCCCCTCGGCCGGCACGGGCCGGCCCAGGGCACCGGAGCCGTAGTGCAGGTAGGCGGGCACGGGGCTCCAGCCAGCCGGGGGCTGCTCGGGACCCTCAGGGCTCTGCAGCGGGCAGGCAAAGTAGGAGCCCTTGTAGCTGAAATGGTTTTCAGAGCCAGAGTGGGGCACGGGGCTGGATGTGCCTGGGATTTTGCTGGGCAGGAAGCTGGCGGTGGGCTCCAGACGAGGTAGCTTGTTCAAAACCACGGGCTCTGCAGACTGCGAGAACCGTTTTGAGGCCATTTATATGATGGTGCCGGTGTCCCCACGCGAGAGGTGCGCTGGCCTTCCTGGGTAAGAGAGAGAATAAGCCATGAGCAAAGTGAAGTCCCCACAGCCAGCAGCCTGTGGTGGCACAAGATGAGAGAGGGTCACAGCCCACCCCACAAGGTGAGGGTTGTCTTGGTTTGAAAAGACATGTGTCTGCTAAGGAAGGCACAAACCTCCCTTGGAAAAGAAAACATAAAATGTAAACCACTGCCCCCTCCGAATTATTATAATCTCAAAATCAAGGTTCTCTCAGACAAAGATATGGGAATAGGAATACCAGTTCTTTATTAAGGAAATTAAAATAAAAACGCAGTAGTACAAAAAAAAAACCCAACAAAAAAACAACTCGCTGACAGAGTCAGAATACAACCTGACACTCTGTCGGTCAGGATGTTGGTAGCAGATCCATTAAATGGTGGCTGCAGTCCTCCTGGAAAGACAGATGGTTCTGCTGAAGAAATGATCCTGTAGAAGGGTGTAGTTTGCCTCTGAAGGTCCAGTGGTGGGGTACATGGCTCCAGTCTCTCCTCTGGGAGTCCAGTGGAGAAAGGCTGCCTGTGGTGTGCGGAGTCTCCGGTTATATCCAGGGAGAAATGTTTGGCTCCTCCCCCCGGTGGAGCATCTCCCAGTGGGATGATGGAACTTTATCAGTCATGCAGTGAGACTCAATGGCCCATTAACAGAAGGTTTTCCCCCCTTGAGGGAGGATAGGTCTAGAATAGATAAAGAACACTGCCACACCTGGTTTTAACAGCTGGTAATAGAATACACACTTCTGGTTACATCTTGCATTGCAACCCAAGACAGGGTAACTCAGGTTCTTTTTAATTGATCCCCTGGGGCTGATTAGAATGAAACAATGCTGAATGACTGGTGTTTATGAATATATATAAAAACATGGGGTTTATTTTAGAACGATTTGGTTGCAGTGGAGTCGTTTTTGTTATTACCTACTGTAATACAACAATACAAAGCGTAAAAATAACACTTCAAGAAATGCCTAAGGAAAAGAAAGGGAAGGGTAAGAGTAGAAAGGTCCCACCACCCTTCCAACAACACCGGGAGGTTACAATTCCACTGCCATGACCTATCTGGGGTGAGGGAAGCACAGGAAACACCAAGTTCCATGGGTTCATATAATGCTCAGGCTCACTGGGAACGCCCAGGTACCTGCCCTGGGGCAGGGAGTTTTACCCTGGGTGATGTCATGCCGTGGATCACGGGACACCTCAGAGTTTTTGTTTTCCTGTGACACCTTTTAAGACCTGGGTACAGCTGGTGCATGACTCAATTATGGCCCATCCAAGGGGATGAATATCTGCAGGCTAACTGAGATATAAGTTAGAGATAAGTCCCAGTAAGGGGAGTTTTCACAGCTGAGCCACTGGTGTAGGGACATTGTCAGGACCAAAAAGCACCATCCCACTTGGCAGGATTTATCTTTTATCAGCCTCTTCCCTTATCTTGTCCAACAGGCAACTGCAGGCTCTGATGGGTGTGCACCCATCCGCACCTGGGCAGTTCCAGCACATGCTCCATTGTTTGTGGCGTTAACCATTAACATTCCAGCCTCTTACACCACTCAAACATCCCGCCAGTTCTCTTCTCCTGCTGCTGCTCGCTCCAAATCTTCTCCCATGGTGGTGATTTTCAATATAATGGGACAGAAGGTCATGTGACTTTTCTTTTTTTATTAGTTATTCCATTAGTTTTGCTGTTAATATCTCTGAAAAATGTAGCTTTATCATCATAAATTTCAAGCCTCCTGAGGCAGTGCGTGGAAGGTTAGTACCTATCTTTTTTGTTCCAAATATGCATAAGTCCTTGCACTAACTCCCAGGCTAAGATTGGTTGAGAAATAGTTACACTTCCATAAGATAAAAAGGTTTTCCCACATTTTTTTTTTTCCCCAAGTAAAAAGACAAAATAAACGTAACAAAAATTAAACTAACAATGTATAAAAGTTGTTGGACTGATAGTTGGTCTCCAAATGAGTTACCTTTGATAAAAACACAAATAAGTATAAATAGCTGATAATCTTAGCACGAATTTTTAGTGTATCAGGCAGGCCTCGGATCAAGATGGGGAATCTTGAGTCCATTTCCACAGGGGAACGTCACTGCAGATCCAATAACTGTGTGTGCATTAATCGGAGACACACAGTCTTTTGTGCATTTTCTACAGCATGGCCAGTCGTGAGGGCCGGAATTGTGCAGGGATCTCCCCTTTCCACAGGATCCGATCCCTCCCTGCCAGTGGGGGGAGTCCTGGTGGTGCATTTCTCCATCTGTCCCCTTGGAAAAGCCCTGGAAAGCTCCGGCTGCCTTGGTTCCTAAGCTCAAACAGTGTCTGTTGCAGGCAGCAGGGAGCAAAGCTGAGTCAGCTCAGGTGAGGAGCTACCAGACATAGACACAGATTGCCCAAAATTCCCATCCCCGGCTTCACCTTGTAAAGTAAGGTGAGGTTTTTACCCCGAGGCAGCCGCTCAGCCTCTCCCTTAGGGGATTTGGGGCTGCTGTGGGGTGGGCGCTGGCCCGCAGTGACAGGTGGTGAGTGCCAGCAGGTGGAGCTGGCAGCCTGTCCCAGGCTGTCCCAGCACTGCCCTGCATCCCTGAGAACCCCAAGTGTTCTCTGAGCACCGTCTGGCATCACCCAGCATCTTCTGAGCGTCCCACTGAGATACCTGGCCATCACCTGAGCCCCAAGAGCAGCATTGGACCATCAACCAGGACCCCCCAGCATCACCTGAGCATCCTGTACGTCACCCAAGCAGCCTCAGGACAAACCTGAGCATCATTCAGCACCCTCCCAGCATGGCCAAACACACCCTGTCACCCAGCACAGCCCAGCAACCCCAAGCCCTGGGATGGACTCCCTGCAGTATGATCTCTGCCATTTTTGGGTTTTTGGTTGTTTTTTTTTTTCTTTTGTGGCAGCGTTAGCAGAGAAGCCAAGGAGGAAATGGAGGAAGAGCACGTGGAGATAAGAAAAAAGCCACATCAACAGCAGGGGAAAGAGAGCAGATATGGGGGGAGACTTGTGGGGGAGATAAGGGAGCGAGCCAGTGGTGGTGCTGCAGCTTTGATGGGAGGGGACCAGAGCTCCCCAGCTCAGCCCAAAACAGCACAAATGAGGCTGCACCCCTCACTGAGCCTTCCTGGCGACTTTCTCCTGTGAGCTTCAGCAATTCATCGCTTCCCAAGGACACTGCTTCCCTGGATTCCTCTGGAAACTCCCACGGGAGCCTCGGTGCTTCCCTCCCTGCTTGCACCCTTGGAAGCAGCTCCCCCACGTCATTTCCATCCCCAGGATAAGGCCTTGGGGTCATTTCCAAGACATGCAGTACAAATTACATTTGCCAGCACTTAGATCCAGGCAAAACAGCTTCCTTCGAGTTGAAGAAAACCCCAGACTGGGTTATTTTCCATCCAAAAGGGATCTCTTGGGAGGGTGGTGTTTGAATCCATCTCCCTGGGAGATGCTGTGTGGGAGGGTGATGTAGGCATGGGATCCCTTCCCAGCTGTGACAGCGTTATGGGTGGACAAGCTGGGCCAGAAATCCAGGATCCTGTGAGTCCTGACATTTCCTCACTGCTTCTTTCCCTTTCCCCAAAGCCTCGGGGATCTGCAACTCCCCACCGTGGGGATATTGTGACACTGGCACTGCTATTACCACAGGATCGGGTGACACCACGGGGCACGATGCAATCGCCCTGTTTCACCTAGCTCCGAGTTCAATTCCGGCTGGAGGGCTGCAGAGCAGGACGAGTGATCCCGCTGCAGCGGCCGGAGCCAGGCACAGGGATCTGCCAGGGCTGAGCTCATTAACCAGATGAGGGAGAGGGGCTCCCGCTCTCCATGAAATCCACAGGGACTTTGCCCAACCGCTGCCATTCCCACACCTGTGCCACGCCAGCAAAACTGCTCTGCTTTTGCTGTCACCATCACCTTTTTCCCTCTGGAACTTTCCCTCTTGCAGCCAGCGGGGGAGGAGAGGGACACGTGGGGGGGATGCCTGGAAGAACCCCAACACATGCAGCCAGTAACTCCGAAACCCTACAGCTGAGAAAAGCAGCGGGTGGAATAAACACAACCCGTTATTCCTACTTTTTAAATATTCTCT